AACCTCGTGTTTTTTTTTTCGTTTATTTATTTGTATGTTTGTTTGTTTTGGGGGTAAAATTATTAATATTAAGTAGAGATTTCGTAGCGATTCTTAACGTGCAAAGAAATCGATAAAAAAGCGCCCTTTGATATCTTAATTTAACGTGTGATTGAATGATAATATCAAATATTCCAACATATCATTAAAATCATTTAATTCTATAAAAGATATTTGGGGTCGAAAAGCGATCATATCTCGGATAAGACGACTCAAATCAGTGATTTAAAAAAAAATAAATAAATAAAATCTCAAATTCCACAAAGATCAAAAGGTATTCAAGTAAATAAGGAAAATAACATAAATATAAGTTCAAAAACACAAAAGAGAAAATAGTAGAATATCCGCAAAACAAAGTATTCCTCACATACCTTATAGAGAGAGAGAATTAAATCATCTATAATTGGTATCAAATCCTCTATTGCACGAATCCCTAACATTCTTTTTTTTTTTTTTTAATTCGCCTAATTCAACTCAAATGGACTTACAAAAATGAAAAGAATTAAACCACGAATCCCCAAAACAATATTTTTTTCTTTCTAATTCATCTAATGAAATCTAATAAATCGACTTGAAATAATTTGATAAATAACCAATCCATCGAACCAGAAATCAGTATAATAACTTCGTACAATTTTTAAAACCCAACTTCTTAAAAAAAGAAAAAAAAAGTACAATTTTTAAAACCCAACTTCTTAAAAAAAGAAAAAAAAAACTTAATCAATCGAACAGCAGATTAAGCACTCTACTGCATTAAAAATAAATAAATAAATAAATAAATAAAATCTCAAATTCCACAAAGATCAAAAGGTATTCAAGTAAATAAGGAAAATAACATAAATATAAGTTTAAAAACACAAAAGAGAAAATGGTTGAATATTCGCAAAACAAAGTATTCCTCACATACCTTATAGAGAGAGAGAATTCAATCGTCTATAGTTCGTATCAAATCCTCTATTGCACGAATCCCTAACATTCTTCTTTTTTTTAATTCGTCTAATTCAACCCAAATGGACTTACAAAAATGAAAAGAATTAAACCACGAATCCCCAAAACAATATTTTTTTCTTTCTAATTCATCTAATGAAATCTAATAAATCGACTTGAAATAATTTGATAAATAACCAATCCATCGAACCAGAAATCAGTATAATAACTTCGTACAATTTTTAAAACCCAACTTCTTAAAAAAAGAAAAAAAAAGAAAAGAAAAGAAAAGAAAAAAAAAACTTAATCAATCGAACAGCAGATTAAGCACTCTACTGCATTAAAAATAAATACATAACTAAATAAATAAATAAAACAGACAAACAAACAGACAAATCGACCTGGAATTGAATTAATCTCCTGACATCTGAATTTAGCGACGCTCAAGCTCTCCTCTCTATCAAAAGCTTACCCGGTTCGCGTGCAGAAACGACGGGCTGTTCGGCAATTAAATCCGGCCTGGTATCGATCCGGCCTCGTATGCGAACGCTGCCGATACGAGCGCTCTCCGTGTGCACATCCGCGGACGTACGTACGTGGATACATACATGGATACATATGGATCCATGTACATATGTACGGACATTTATATGTGTTGATACGTATGTATATATACGTGCATGAATTTATATGTATTGATACGTATTTATATGGATATATAAATATATGTATATATGGATACATATATGGATACATTTGTAGATATTTACTGATACGTATGTACAAGCATGCATACAAATACATGTAGATACACTCGTGGACATATAAAAGGACACATAGCAAAAAATTCACTCACAAAAGCGCATACACATACATACATATACATACTATATTTACGCATACCCCCCCCCCCCCACACACACACACATGAACACATACACACATACACACCTGTACACACTAATTACACACACATATACTGTACACACAAAAACAAACACACACACACACCAAATAAGACAAACGCACATGAATACAAGCAAGTGTGCCAAACAACATATCTCGACGATACACACTTTTATCTTTATCCTAATTCAATATCATATACATCCCGGTTGAAATAAAAATAAATCTACGTGGGCCCACACACACGAAAAAAAAACTGACACGTTTTAAAATTGAAGTTAAATTTAATTACCGAATAATTCTGTCTGGGTTTCACGAGCAATAACATAACTACAGTAAAACCGGTTTGGAATTTATGGCGAAAATCTATTTCAAAAAACAACTATGTACACATCCGGGTTACAAAAACACAAAAAAATATATGTACACGTGCAAAAAAAAGGGAGAAAAAAATATTCAAGGAAAAAAAAAGGGGGAAAAAATGTTCAAGGGAAAAAAAAAAAAACACGAGAGGGGAAAAAAATAAATGTACTGTATATATGTACACAACGAAACAGTGCAGTAAAGCAATATATTTTGTATTCGTTTAAATCGAGTAAATAGTTGCTGAAAAAAAAATCACTGAAATTTTGCAGTTACAGCAATTAATGTTTTGTTGTTGTTGCTGTTGTTTGTTGTTTTTGTTGTCGTTGTCTTTCATGTATAAATTCTGTATATATCTGCTTTAATGAAACACCGATAACAATAATGATAATAGCATTACTATTATGAAAATAATAATCGTATTGTTAAGATGACTATGATTGAACATTAAAATATCAGTATCGAAAATGAATGATATTTGTCATCAAATATCGGTCGCAGTTTAATCGTGTTTATAAAAATATTGAATAATTTATCATAATATCCATTTCTTTCTAAAGCTTTCAAATACTGATCGGAACATCGGAAAATGATAAATCAACGGATTTTTTAATCTTAAAATCAAT